GTAGGAAGTAATTTTTTGGATGGATCTAATTTTGACCTATCAAACTTTGGTTGCAATTTAGTTTATCAAGAACCCGAGATTTTTGCTCGCAAGCAAAATGGCTTCCCGGTTTGGTGCCGTAACAGACAAAGAAATTTCAAAAATAATCAAACAAGCTGTTCCCGAAATATACGAAGAAGGTGACGAAAGTCGGTTTGGCAGTTTTAACAGGTAAAGCTTTGTCTGTTTGACTTGAATTTATCGATAAAACCGGTGAAAAAGTTTTTTGTTTACAAATGCAAATTTAAAGTCTTGCGTTACTTTATTTAGCTGACATGTTCATAAACTAATCTTAAAACTAAATTTAATAGTATTTTTTACAGAGTGGTTTTAAATACAAATTAATTCACAACTCCTTTTGAAAAAAAAAAATCCCCGGAAAAAGTTTATTTGTCCGCGGCAAGAAATCGATCGCGACGGCCGTTCGGTCATTGCGCGCCAAAAGTGTTATCGTTGACAACAGTTAAATGAGCTAAAAATCATCATTACTGTGCTAAATTATCTCACTGTTTTAGTATGTCCTAAAACTATTATTCATCTCAGTGTCGGTGGCTAGTGGTTATGGTGGTAATATCCCGCACCACAAGCCACTTCCACTTCCGTGAATAATTGTTATTTATCAAATTGCCTCTTTTGTCGCCAGATCACCGAATCGTGACACCGAACGCGAAATTTGCATGCGTTGCAGAACATTCACCATTGGCCGTGGAAAGATTGTCGTCATTGTAGTTGTCTAGATCTTTTAAAACAGGTCGTTTTCTGGTTCATTATTGCCTTGCCTTTTCTCTTTTGAACGAAAGGTACTTTTTGAAAACTAAAAAAAAAGCTTTTAATCATATTTTCTCAAAATTGTTATACGTAATTTCACGAGCCGTTAGGCGAGTGAAATTTGAGACAATTTTGAAATATCACGAGAGGTATTTATGCCAAATCACGTACAAATCATGCTATACTACTAATCCGCGAAGGTTTGTAATATTCCCATGTCTAGGGTATTTCAAATTAAGCTGAAATACTGCTCTAAGCCATGTAATTGCGGAAATTTCTTTTGTAGTAATATAATTTTTATTATCGGTTTCGATTTGTACAAATACTTTAAGGCTACACTTTAAATGCTTGGTAGGTTCGATTAACCAACCGCTGTTCAGGAGTTTGTTTGATTGTTTTTTTTTTTCTTTCATCAACGCTTCAAAGCTGATAACGGGGTTTTTCCCATAATACCCACGCCTATTAAAGGCCAAGGGTTACCGCCAAAAGCTCCTTCGTATTACGTTATTTAAATACCCTATCTGTGAGCTAAATGCATATCGCCTAACGATCAACTTTCCGATCCGTTTTTACACTGAACTCAAATCAGAACTAGTGATGTATAACTAGGGGTGATGAATGATCCCTTAAAATTTTCAAGTGCTCGCAAACATTTCCCAAAATTTAAACGAGTGCTCGCTTGCTCCTGCTCGCTAAATTTCTGCAATTGCTCGCATGCTCGTGTTCTAGCTTGTCAGTATTGCTCGAAATTTTGTAAATCCTTCTTTGTGTGCGCTCTAAATTAAAACGCCCTTTAATATTTTCTGTTTTAACATTATAAAGAAAAGGATTTCCATGTGGATTGCTGCAAGCGGAAAATATGAGAAGTGCTCGCTGCTCGCACCATTCATAACTCCTAATAACTCAAGTGAATTGAAATGATTGAACTACGTGTTTTGTTACCAGTCGAGTGACACAGATATTTTTCAGCAAAAAGACTATAGATTACGCCGATTAACCCAAATACGAAAACGACCGTGCGTTTCTCGTCGAGACACGAAGTAGGAACCAAGGACTAAGGCATTGACAGAGATTGCACTTTTATCGCTTCAGTTGACTATATTTAAAAATTGACTTCATTCATGGTACCGTTCCAGCTCAACACGGAAAGTTATCATGACTTAAAAACAGGATTTTCAGTTTCTGATATTGTCGTCAATCTATCATGATCTGTTTTTCCCTTGGGTATTTTGTTTTCATTATCCGGAATTTCAAAGAAAGCGATAGCAATTATCATAAGTATTCCGGGAAAACCCTCTCAAGGGTTTCCAGTGCTATAATATGCTTGTCACTGGCTTGAAGGTCATCAGTCAGCACTGGCTTCACTGAGTAAACGCTGTAGTCGTCTCGACTGTTGGTTATATAGGGACTTGGCTAAGACAGATCCGTGTTTGCAATCTCCGGTAAGTTATAACGTAGGTCTATTAAATTGTAGGAGTACACTGCTGCGAATTCGAAATTTTGTAAGAATTGGTGCAACCACCGTTTTGAAGTACTCTCCCGGGAAAGTTTCAAGTCGGCGCCAAGTTTAAAAAGTGGGAATAGCACCCTTAAAAAATTGGAAAAAGAATATCGATTTGGTCAATTTTAAACTACCATTGAATTGAATAACATATTTAGATAAAATAAAGTAAAACGTAATCAAATATCCAGACGGCTTTTGAAGTAAACTGAACTGATCGACGCTACCCAGCACAATTTACTTGCGGAACAGAATCCTTATGAGAAATGGCAAATTTTGTAAGTCTGAAATGACATTAAGATTCTACATCATTTACGGCCAACAGCAACATTAAAATAATATTTTAATCGAAGAAAAGTTATCCACTGTTGGCAAAATTGTCTGCGCTTACATGCGCGCCAAAATTCTTGCAACGGGTGGCCCCAGAATCTGGAAGTGTTCGAAATTAAAGATCAGTAAAAGTTGCATCTTTTTAGAGTCATCGGGAAGTAGCTTTTACAAACCGTTGAAGCCTGGAAAATAATTATTAATCAGTTAGCCAAATCATGATTTTCTCCAGTCTATACTCTGGTGATAAAATCCGATCTCAAACTCAGGAGATTTGCAGTGTGTGATATGTATATTTTGACTGATAAAGTAAAGTTAATATTTCCGTGCATGAGTTTCTCTCTTTTAAACCATGTTTATGTCGAATATATTAAGACTAAAAGGGCTAAGAACAGTCTTTGTTCCAGTTCAGCGCACTAACGGTTATGCAAATGTCCAATCTCGGATAATAAGGCCAAAGCATCATTCTCGGTGCAAATATGCCACTACTTAGTTACCGTCTGTCACTTAAAATTTTGCAATTTTTGTTTTCTTTCTTTATTAGGCGCTTGTTTTAAGATCCGCAAATGACGGCTATGGCACAAAAACTCGCGTGTAACACAAAACATTACTATTCAGTAAGCGGGTATAGCAGAACTTGCAGGGGGGTTTTCCCGAATTGTTCCCAGGGGCCAGCTGATCACTCTATTTGTTTTTAAATGGCTCGCAATATGATACCGGTAAGAAAGGTCTTTGGAGATAACGGTTACTTTTTTAAAATAAAATTCCAAACCTTAAACATTTTCGTTGACGCAGTCAATACCCAAACAAAAGCCCTATAGTGGGGGCTCATTGGGCTGCCGACTGCGCGATGGTGTGGTCTAAATAGTTTAGGATATTGATTATATTTATGCTTTTTTTCCCGGAACGAGTGCATAGCTTTTCCTAACTGGTGGAATGGAATATATAGTGAGATATTTACACTTGGCCAGTTAGCCTTTTGAGACAAGAACCGTATAGTATTATTTTAAAGTGGGACATTCCACAACCTACCTCTCCCGATCCCCCAATCGCTGTGCTCATGCTCCCTCCACCAAAAAAAACCCCTGCCTTTTCCATTTGGTGTTTTAAATGCTGTAAATAACAGTAATTTTATCTGACCTTATAACCCACAAAGCAAAGCAAGTTTCAGTTTAACTTCTGTCGGATATTGCATTTAAAGCCCTTCTAACTATCCGAGTAAGTATGTTTTTATTTGACGGGGAGATCTACAATTAACATTGTTTCTGCAGCTCCTGCGCAGGCTAATAACATCATCATCGGCTCCTGTCGCACACTGTATTAAGAAAATCATTCGGCATGGATATAGGGCAAATAACTCCATGCAATAATTTTGTGTTTGTTCCAAATCGACTACCAAAAGACGACCTGAAATTACCCGTCCCCTCTCGGCAAAAATCGGCTTCATTGAAGGGGGAATGGGTTACACAACGCCTTCTGGGTGAGCCGTCCGTCCGCCATTTTGTCCTTTCTCGACTTCTCCATAACTTGGTTGTGTCTAGAATGGATATTCCAAAGTCAGATTGTCATCTTCACTCAAAATACATGATAGAAGTCTTATAACTTAAAGTAGTAATTAAGAGAAGAAAGAAAACAGAAGAAATCAATAGGTAGTATGTAACACTTGAACCAGCGTCATTTGACGTCTAATCCATGTCCGTATCCACTACACCATCAAGGGCAAACTGCCGACACCGTTTAATTTTAACGTGCTTTGCATGGCATTAATCATTGCATTCTTGAAAGCTTACCGTTTTTTAAACAGTGCTTAACCCTAATCACTGTACTTCGGTCCTAAAGCCCGTATTCAACTCTTTTCCTTACACAGCTGTCTCTTAATATTCTGATTTACCCACTTTTCTCAAAAATGTGCCCAATAAATTCTCATAGGTATAGGATAGCGTGGTATAGAGTATAGCGTTGTGTAATAAACATAAGGTTTCCAACCCTGATTTTGAGGTATCCATTCTGGTCACAACCGTTCCTTAATTGGGTACCCCAGACTGCCCGATAACGAATGCTGGAAGTCTAGAAACTTCACAGTCCCCGATTTTCCCGAAAGATCGTTTTAGCAACGCTACAGGCGGCAATCTTGACCGAGTCTAGATAGGAGATGGCTTTCATTGGCAGTGACGGTGTGAGACTATGCTGTAACGATATTTCAGTCAATTCTATAGCCAGATCTTAGTTGTAGCTCCAAAACCTCAGAAAATGCATAGGCCATTCCCCTTTTTGGCCTGCGCTATAGTTTTAAGTTCCATAACACTGTGTTAATTTTCATTTTTTTATATTTGCAGTTCATTAAAAAATCTTTCCGGAGTTCAACATGCTTAGTCAGTATATGAGTATTTTACCTGATAATGGCAAGAAACCTTTTGATCTCCAATACCTGTGCCCGTCCTGCAAAAATGTGTTAAGAGATCCAATACAAACCAGCTGCGGACACCGATACTGCAGGTCTTGTATAGAGGAGTTGTTAAGGTAATTTCAAGCTTGAACCTCTCCCTCAGGTCATTAGACTGATCGTAAATATAATTATGTAATAACAAGCAAACGGAAATACGAAGATGTTTCTGAGACAAGCACTTGGGGCGGCAAATGAAAAAATGGGAACAAACTTACCTTGAGCCCTAGCTATAAGTTTATTTCTATTTCTAGGTTGGCGTTCATGGAATCTCATAAATATCTTGTTAATTATTTTTCGTTTCGATTTTTGAAAGGTCGTCTTCTGGAAAGTGTTTGATCGATAACAAACAAATCAAAAGGAAGGAGGTATATATATGCTAGTCTCTTGTTCTTGCGGCTTGATCTTGTAACGCTTTTCATACAAATCCGAAGCTTAAGAGGACGGAAAAGAACTTAGGCCTAGCTAGGCCGAACGTCGAACTTTTCATGAGACGAACCAAACTTACTAAGTTAGGTTCATGAAAAGCTCGACGTCTGGCTCAGTTAAGTTCGTTTGAATGAGTTTGGATCGTCCAACACGTTCAATCCGTCTGCTTCAGACGAAAAGAACGTCTGATGTTCGTCTCCGGGACAAACGTCGATCTTCACATGCGACGAACTAATTAAAAGTAATAAATTAAAAATTTGTATGATAATGTATATTTAGGCTCGTTTGGCAGAAAATGTATTAAAATTGCTTTTTAGTGTAATTCAGTTGATTGGTTCGACGCGTCCTAAGTTTGACGACTGACCCAACAGACGAGGTCGACCCAAATTAGAGTTTGGTTCTCACCATGAAAAGTTCGACGTTTGGCCTAGGCCTTACATTGCCAACAAAACAGAGCAGAAGATTTAGACTTCAGTGGTGTAGAAAAAAAGAGAACCCGCTTTTTTAATCCCATACAGTAGTATAGAGCATACTTTTAATTCAGGTTAAAACTTCTCTTATCGTAAAATCACTTATTTCTTAGATTTTCGAGGACCATTTTGCAAGACGCGAGATTCTGTCGTTACCAGTCCAGTGTACCAACCACAGTGACGGCTGCGACTGGAGAGGGGAATTAAGACAGCTAGAGGTATGTTGTATCACATCATCTAAAATTTTCTACCGTTTCGGTTTTTATAAAAAATCTGAAAACAGGAGATTCCTGAAAGTAACTCTACGATATTTTAGTTCACGCAAGCGTCATTTGAAGTCGTTTTCCCGCACAAGACTGGAAAGTTAGGATCGCATTAAGTCTTATTGCCTTATACCCCTCCCCCCAAGTAAGGGAATTTAAGACAGTCTCAGATCCTGGATTCCACGCTGTGGATTCCGGATTTCAGGTACTGGATTCCACTCTTTGTCAGTAAAACTTAGATTCCACTTTCCAGTTGCTGGTCAGATTCCGGATTCCTCGAGCTGTATTCCAAACTCCAAAGCCCAGGATTCTCGATCCACAAGTAAAATTTCGCCGGATTCAATTCCGGATTCCACAAGCAAAAATGTCCCGAATTCCTGATTCCCTTACACGAGGCGACGCTTCTGTCAGCCTTTGACCAGTATTTTAACATTTTTTTTTTTTTGTTTACTACTAAAGGTTCACCTGGAAAAGTGCTCATATGCAAAGGTTCAGTGTATGCATTCTGGGTGCGGAGCCTTAGTACCAAGAGGTGATTTGCCGCGCCATCTTACTGAAGATTGCAACTTCAGGCAGGTTTTTTGTCAGCTGTGCAAACTAGAGACAACCGCTGACCAGTTAAAGGTAACATTTATCACTGTGTTTAATTAGATTAAGAAGCCAATGACTTGGGCTATCATGGGCTATCATGGGAGGGGCAGGTGATCTCCCGCAAAGCTAGCTGAAAACTTGTGAATCTTTTTTGGCGAAGAATCAATATTTGGTTCAAAAAAGCCTTCTCCTTTCTGATTATGACGAGATACTGTATTCCAGGGGTTCCGCAACATGATTATAAGATTAATTATGTTGGAATAAATAGTCCAATATTGGCAGGTTTCAATTCATGTTATATAAAAGATATTAAGTTACTCTGTCTTTGCAGCAACACCAAGAAACGGACTGTCAGGAGTACATCGTGGATTGTCCGAAGTGCTTCGCTGTGAAAATGCCACGAAAACAGGTAAAATTGCGATTAGATTCAAATTCCAAATTTCCTCCATAAGGCTAATTTATTAAGCAACTCACCTCACTTGTATTGTGCCACACAATTAATGGCAATTCAGCCATTGTTTAAGGATATAATAATCTGGTTTGGGATAAAATTATGGTAGTTAACATGGTGACTTCGAGCGACTTTCCCCTTTTTCAGTATTGCCTTAGTATGTTAAGAATAGTATGATTAAGTAGTATGTATTAAGTAGTATGTTTTGAACTATATCTCTTTAAACTTAACTCATGCATTCTTGGAAGCTCCCGGAGATTCTTTGAACTGTTTTGCACGGCACTGCCGGTTGTGTTAAAAAAAGATAAATGGAATAACATAATTTTTAATATTAATGTACAACAGCTTTCAAGCCACCTGGATCCTGTCAACGGAGATTGCGAAGCTTATGAGGCACCTTGTCCGTTCCACACCATAGGATGCCAGGATGAAGAGGTTGGTCCTGTGAACACATGCTATTTTACGTTTGAAAAGCCAATTTTTTTCCTTCCGCACTACTGTTAAATCCCTTCATCACTGTAAAATGTAAATACATACTTACTTCGGTCTCTCAAGGAGAAAATGAATTAAATTAAACCATGATAATCTGGCTTCGGATCCTCGAAATACTTGGGGGAAAAGGATAAAATTAAAATCCTGGCTTGAACGAAACATTTGTGATGATAAACCACTTGGTCGGAAGAGAAAATTAGTACGATACTGACAAACAAATTTTTTTGTTGTTCTTTCCCAAGACATTCATGCTTTCAAACTTGAGGCATTCGTCACAAACTCTCTGTTTCAAGCTTACGAACGACGGATATTTAGTTCTTCCGTTTTAGGTACCAGTACTACCTCTCTGAAATCATAGTATTTAAAATCCTTTGCAAATGATCGCTAAGAGCATAACATTACTCAAAGAGAAAAATATTATAAGTAAATAAAATTAAAATAACGCCCTTGAACATAGCTAACAATATGTATTTTTTTTTTTGCATTTTTATAGCCAAGAAGGAGAAAAGAAAACAAGGATCATCAGGATAAAATGGTGACAAAACACCTTAACTTCCTCCTGTTATTTGTGCAACAACTGTCAAATTTGGTGTATTCCAAGATTAATCATGCAAATACATCAACGGAAAAATACCGACTCTTGGAAACCATGGATACCACAATTCACAATTTACTACAAAAAGTAGAAAATATCATAGTAGAACAGTCTGAAATGTCGTTACTACTTCGAACCCATGGTACACGTATTAGTGATGCTGAAAAGAGCATTGAACGCCTTTTAATGGATAACGTGATACCTGACAGTCATCCCTTAAACTCCATGCATCATTGGTCTCAAGACGATATAAGTCGTGTATTGCATAGGTTGGACAATGCTGATGCTAAAACAGCTAATCATGAAGTTCTTTTGGTTGAAATGAACGCAATGGTGCAAGAAAAGACCAAACATGTCAATGCCTTAGAAACTCAGCTTAGAAATGCAAATGACGAAATTAGGAAACTTCAACGGCGAATGGAAACTTTGGAGTACAATTCAAGTCTCAGAAACATCGCTACCGCTGATTTAGAAGAACATATTAGACAGCAGGAGTTTTCGTGCAATGATGGTGTCCTTATATGGAAGATCACCGATTTTGCAAAGCGCAGGAACGAAGCGATAACTGGTAAACAGGTGTCTTTCTATAGCCCCTGCTTTTATACTAGTCGCCATGGATACAAAATGCGCGTGCGCATCTATTTAAACGGTGACGGCATCGGCAAGGGAACGCACATTTCACTGTTTTTTGCTGTCATGCGCGGTGAGTACGACGCAATACTCCGCTGGCCATTTCAGCAGAAGGTTACGCTCATGTTACTTGATCAAAACAATGTAGAACATGTAATCGACGCCTTTAGGCCTGATCGCAACAGTTCATCTTTTCAGAGACCAAGAAGAGAAGTAAACATCGCCAGTGGATGTCCTACATTCTGTTCCTTATCAGAGCTACATAACCACGCCTATGTCAAAGACGACACTATGTTTATCAAAGTTATAGTTGATACCTGCGATATATAAAACCGTTTCTCAAAAAGGTGACAGAATATATTTTGATATTCTTTATCATATCTTTCTTAACGTATTTAGCAGTTTAACCTGGAGGTTTTATGCAAACGGACTCCATTGTTTGTAAAAGTTTAGATTAGGGCACGAAAAAAACGGTCTTTTATATCTACATTCTACACTTAATAACTGTCTGTAATAAGCAGTGATCAAGAGGGGAAAGAGGATAAAGCTATATCCTTTCTTGCAGTCATGTAATGATTAAAATCTTTTAATAAAGTGCAAGGGTTCGGTTCTTGTTACCGCTGTTTACAAAGTGGCATTGCAATTTTGCCCCAAAATTTCACTTAGGCACCGTTCACAATAATGCGTTTTCGTTTAAAAACGCCTACATTTCGAAGCGTCTTGGGCTCTCCATCCACACTAATGTGCTGACCGCTTTCATCGAAAACGCTTCGATTTGAAAACGCTCTTGAAATTGGATCAAAGCGAGATCGGATACTTATCGTATTGTAAACGACACATTTCGTAAACTCATTAAAATGAGAAAAACAGGTGCGTGTGTTTGAGCAAGCGTTCAACTTACGTCCCAACGTGCAATTTTATCGCCGATGTTTTCGAACGTTTTAGTCTGGATAGTCGAAAGCCCATCAAAACTGACGGTAGTGTGGACATGAATGGATCGATGCGTTTTCCATGACATGAAATAGCACACTTTAAAAGCGCATTAGTGTGCCTTAGAAATTACCCGGGTGGCAGTGGCTTAGAAAATGAATGGAAATATGGGGAACGACGCTATGCAAACTAGAAAATCGCACAAGGGCCCGACGTAGGACCGAAAATTTTGCACCGCTTTGTTTCTTCCAGAGTGTTTTTATAAGTCTTTTCTGTAAGTAAATGATCATAATTAGGTGCAGACGCTGCCCGTTCGTCCTCTGATGCTTTTGACACCGTTGGAAGCCCGTCAAACCCGTGTTCTGTTCATAAACGACAAAACCTGCCAGATACGTATACAAGCACACCACGCAAGCTATTCGGTTCCCGGCGCCAAATTGCTTCTTGCGTAGTTTGGGCATATGCAGAAAACGCGCACGCTGTTAAGTGACAGTAAATTAAAAGGTACTTCTAGATTATAAATCAGAACGTAACGTAACAAAACATTGCCTAGATAGAACATACGAATTACTGTTTTGACTAGTAAAGCTGTTTCATGTTAGTGGCGCCAATTTTACCGACCCAAAAACGGGTCGGTGCGCTTGGACCAATCAGAGTAGCTCCCAAGGACCCTTGGGGATAAGGCTGTCACTAACAAGTCCTAAGGGCATTGGAACGTGACTTGCGGTGGGGTCGATTGCGAGGTGAAGTTGACAGGCCAAACACGACTCATACGGCAGGATTTTTCCGCGGGTGACGGGTGGCGGGTAGCGGGTTGGTGACGGGTAGCGGGTGGCGGGTGGTGGGTGACGGGTGACAAATCGGTCAGGCCGTCAAAAATAAAAAAAAATAAAAAAAAAAGGAAACTGTCAAAAATAAAAAAAAAATAAAAAAAAAAGGAAACCAACAAAAGAAAAAAGATGATAAACACTACAAAATCGGATATTTTAGCAGTATTCTTCTAAACGATATCACATGCACGAGATAGCTTGAGGAACTCATAATAATTAAAGTAATATTTATCCTGAGACCAGACAAGTAAGATCGCATTCTCTTCTCGACATGTTTGAACAGTGTCTCAGATTTTTGACAAATGCGTTCGTTCTTTTGTTATAAGTTGGGATAAACATTGCACTGCCCGTGGAATAAATTTTTGCCAGTTTGGTTCCCGACTTGTATTTTAAAATGAACAAACTGTCTATTTCGAGAAAACAAGGAAATTTTCCTGAGACTAAAACAACAAAGCTGTCAATGTTAATGCGTACGAGAGAAGGAGCAACAACGCCTTTGACGCAGCATGGACCGTTTTCGCCGCATGTGGCGTCTCGGACGCGAATTGATCTCGTTGTATATATATACAAAAAGGATCTGCATACTACTTAAAAATACTGATTAGGATGGCAATCATGCCGCATACTAGGGCAAAACTGATCTACGACTCGGAAGGCCTACTTCTCAACCTTATCCCTCATAAAAACCCCTTTTTACGCGTCACCCCCTGCCACCAACACCGTACTCCGTACTCCCTCTCCCTCCCCATAATCATAATAGACCTGCCACGTTGTTTTATAAACAGTAAATGTAGTCTCTTTCTCACAGTTATTTATCTTTCACACCCGTTATTGAAGAAGCTTATATATAGCTAAGAAGTCGGACGTCTTTCTAACCACACGTCCGCTCGTTGTATATTTCTCTCAGTAGTGGTTGATCTTAAATTAAGGGCCATTTGGTCATTAAAATGTTTTTAAGGTTCTGCAAAGCAGGGTGGTACGTGGTAACGAATGGCAGAATTTTCTTTCGCACTTCATTGCTCTGTGACGTCCTGCACAGTGAAGTAATCACGTTTAATTGTATAAATGTTACGTGAAAATTAAAAAAAAAATACTTCTAGATTATAGATATATCAGAACGTAACGTAACAAAACATTGCCTAAAAAGAGCATGCGTTTCACTGTTTTGAGAAGTAATATATAAAGCTGTTCACATAAGATTTTTGTGACAAACAACAATAAACCGATGATATGCCTTCAACACGTCAATGGGAAATTCAAAATTCAATGTTTCGGACGCCATTAGACTGTTTTTTCCCGACTTTAAAGGGCTCAAAACATGGTTCAAGTTATCGAGGGTAAAATTATATACAAATGATCTGAGGGGAAAAAAGTACTTCGAATTAGCGTGAGGTTCGAGTTACCGTGGATACAATTACAGTGACGGTATGACGGAGATCGATTTTGGTTCGAATTAGCGCGAGGTTCGAGTTAGCGAGGGTTCGAGTTATTGGGAGTCAACTGTACTTTTTATGAAATTCTCTTAGCTTAACCTTTACAATTATTAGTCCGCAGAATTTGTATGTAGATATTGGCGTTTGCGGTTCACATTACGATTTGTCACTTGGCTTGGCTTTTAATGTCGTGTACGTCTCTATTAATAGTACGATATGGTTTTATTGTTGTTGTTGTTGCTTTGCACATGTTAAAAGCTCAAAACCCCCGTATTTAAAAAAACAACGTTGTAAGCCCCATGATTTATTTCTACGAATTCCCTTCCCATGAAGCTATTTCCCCTCCCACCCTCTCCCCCGGGAAGTAAAAGTTCTTTTGGACATATCCTTATAAATCGTAGAATGACCGAGCCGTGTGCGGTCAAGATGGCTGTATATCGGCCTCGTTTTTTTTGAATTTTTTTTTTGCGTTGTGCAGTTGACCTCGATGTCAACGTTTCGGTCCGTAAAAACAAAAATAAATAAATCATTATTAACTTGCAAACTTGGTCAATATAGATGCGTCAATAATACAAACGTATTGCGTGACACCCGCAATTGAAATTCAAACAGGGAATTTTCCCTTTCCCGGCATGCTTTATCAGCATAATTTGCGCCACTTCAGTTCCGCTTCTCCTGGACTTCGAGTAAGTAGACAAAATCATCTTCAGCTAAAACTGATGATCATTTATGATTTACGATCAACATGTACATGATTTCCTTTCTATCTTACAATTTGTTAAAGGTTGAGGTCATTTGCATGATGTTTTGTGATAGTATAAAAGTCAAACAAAGTAAGGAATGTTCTCGAAAGCTCGCTATGTAATGATAACTTCGCTTTTAAACTTTTTTCTTGACTTGATCATCCCCTTTTTTTTTCAGGCAGCAAGTTGATTCTCTGAAGTCATAGGTCTGTGGGAACAGTGTGACAATCGACGAAGTCGATTGCTGTCGAAGGCACAAGTCAAGATACGAAATAAGGTAACTGATGATACTAAGAGGCGGATTATTGGGGCGGAAGTTACACGGAAGGAAATTAAGGCAAGGCAAGACTTTTAAGACGTTCTGAGTGTTGACTGAACTAACTACATAGCATTTATTTGCTTTTGTCTTTTTTTTTGCCTTCCCTTTCCTTCCAGCCGAGATCTAGAGACTGCGTAGGCGATCAGTAGAACGTTGGTTCGATTATCCGGGTCTGCTCTCTAGTTGCACTCACAATGGGGTATTGTATTTAATATCCGCACCCCCCGGTTGGGTACCAATGGAATTCGTCGAGAATGGAGGTTTTCTTTGGGGGTAAAACTTAAGAGCGACGGTCAGGAAATATCGACCATTAAGTGGCAAGAGTTGAAAAATCGATTTCCTTCATTTTTTTGTCCATAAATAGCTTTTAGGTAGATAACTAATCTGATGTAAGTTGTTCTCGCTAAAAGGCTTTTATTTTCGAGAAAAGTAAGAAATAACAGTTTTCGTGGTCGGAGTCTCAAAATAGCCCTACTTCAACCCGAAATTTGCTTACATCAACTCTCCCTGCGTTCGCAAATAAAGCCGCAAGGAGAAATTTGGACACTTTCCATCAATAGAACAACTCTTCTTCATTCACTAGAAGATACTTCCAAAGCAATTTCGAGACTCGTTGAACTGACATAATTCAAACACGAAGAACAGGTATTTACGGTGACAAAAACTTTAATTTAGTAATTGTTTTCTGCGGCATTATTCTTCATGTGGCATAGCTCCAAATTTTCCCACTCCTCGTTTATTCACACATTTAGACATTTATCCCAAACATACCTGAGAATTGGCTTGGGTTTCCGAAGGCAGCCTCCAAACGAAAGTATCGAAGTCCGGTAAATATAGTGAAGCGTGAGCAAAGTAACGTATGTAACGGCTCCAAGTTTCCTGGATCGTAAAGTAACAAGACAAAATATCTTCCTGTTCCGTCATCCTTAGCGAATTACCATTGTTCAGTCCTTATTTTTCGATAAAAAGTGAGTACCAGAATACTAGCGCGTTTGATTTTTTTCTTCTCCAAAATACTGTCGGTATTGAAAATGTTCCTCTTTCAAGAATGGCGTTGCGTTACTACCGTGATCCCGTGACTGTCATTTTGACGGCTTCGTGTCTTCAAACGTAAGTTATGTCAGGTGCAGTCACACAGATTGTCACGCAGAGTTGCCGGAGTAGAGTTCACTGTTTGAAAATGGCTAAAATTGACCCAGTCTCACCTTTTTACCCCACTCTTTGATTGAAAAAGCAACTTTGCAATGGGAAAACGGCCTACAAAAAGTACGAAAAACGAGCCTTTAGGCTGTAAATATCTACTTTTGTGCGTTTCGAAATTGAAAGTGTTTACACAATTAATTACCGCCGGCCTACTATGAAAATTCCTGAACTTCGATGGTGTCTTACAGAGATTTCCTTCAATAACTCAAGCCAATTCTCAGGTATGTTTTAAATGAATGTGTAATTGTGTCATTTAAATGGCATTGAGAGAATTTGGAGCTATACCACATGTTAAATATTGCCGTCGAAAATGGGTAACGAACTTAAGTTTTTGTTATCATGAAAACCTAACTCTCGTTTTTGAATTATTTCAGTACGACGCGCTTCGCTATTGCCCTGAAAGTATCTTCTAGTGGAAGGAAAAGAATTTTTCTGATCATGGAAAGTGTCCAAATTTCTCCGTGCGGATTCGTTTGCGAACGCGAGGAAAGTTGATGTTAGCGAATATCAGATTGAAAATTAGGGCCGTCTGAGACAAAAAATAGGTTTCTGGCGGGAACAATCTACATTAGGTTTCTTATCTACCTAAAAGCTGTCTATGAACAAAAAATGAAAGAAATTTATTTTTTAACTCTTGCCACGAAATTAAGATTTTGATCGTCGCTCTTGAATTTTCAACAAAATCTTCAGGGGTGAACAGGAAAAAAAATAATCTTTTTGCGAAATTCCCTTGGGGTAAAACTCATCTTCTTCGGGGTAGACCCATTTTCTGTGGAAGTCTTCAGGGGTGAATGCAATTTTATGGAATTCTTCAAGGGTAAGACGAAAAGTCCTTATTAAACCGGGGAGGATATAAAGTACAATAACCCAATCATTTGTGGTACTGTACTGCTTTGAAATTCAGTTGACTCCCGATAACTCGAACCTTCAAGGGAAATCGAAAAAAGTTCGAGTTAGCGGAGTTCGAGTTGTCGGGAGCTCGAAAGAAATAGCGGGGAGGAAGAAAAAAAACAGTTTTTACTGCACAGCGTACATTTTAATCCAATTAATTGTAGAAAGGTTCAGTTACAATAAATTTAAAGATACTTCTAGATTATAAATCAGAACGTAACGTAACAAAACATTGCCTAAATAGGGCATGCGAATTACCGGTTTGAGAAGTAAAGCTGTTTCATGTTAGATTTGTGACAAACAACATCAGCCTCCACTTGTAAACTATATGCCTACAACACGTCAATAGGAAATTCAAAATTCAATGTCTGGACGCCAGTACACTGTTTTGTTATTGTTGTTGTTTTTTCCGGCTTTTTAAAGGCTCAAAACATCAGGGGCACCCAACGAGAATATAGTTCAAAACCACTTAAACATAGCATTCAACGTATTTTAGTATTTAAACGGTATATATAGGCATATTTTTATCTCCTAAATTAAAAAGTAGACAAGCCTAAAGGATCGACTTTCAGATCACTAGGCTTTTAATATCCCTAGTTTTGAATGGAAAAGCTTTTAAAGTCGGTCTTTAAAGGCAGGGTAAAAATCCGTTAAAAATGGGCAATTATACCATTTTTGGGGGTTTCGAAAATCCTAGCAGAGGCAGGCAAGTAAGAAATTTAACGACAAATGTTCCGAAAATTCTAGATCTTAAATCGTCTTCCGAACAGATATTTTCCATGGTTCGAGTTATCGAGAGTAAAATTATATAGAAATGATGTGAGGGCAGAGGGGAAACAAAAATTACTTCGAGTTAGCGGGAGGTTCGAGTTTTCGAGGGTTCGAGTTACCGAGGGTGTAATGTATGACGGAAATCCAGGGGAAATTGATTTTGGTTCGAGTTAGCGCGAGGTTCGAGTTAGCGATCGGGGTTCGAGTTATGGGGAGTCAACCCTACCTTACTCCCCGGCCATTCCAAGCTGACCCGAATGTGTCTACAGATTGCGCAGTATCTCTAATAAAAAGTATTTGCTTTACTTTTTTATGGAACGGAATTCCTATTTTTACTATATGTATTTTGTTCAAACAGGTTCGCGAGGGGAGTAGCCCCTGACGGTTACAACTAATAGCTCAATTCAACCAGCTGGCAAGAAATTGACTATATATGCCCCGCAATTCCACCAACAACTACACTGCCTAGTACAGATCATACCTATGATCAGACCTATGATAAACGAAACAAGTGAATATGACTTAAAATAACAGTCGCAATAAAACGTTATGAAGGGCTAGGTCAAATTAGATGCCTAGCATGTCAGATATTACTTTTCTGAGGCACTATACAGAAAAAGAAATGAGATTGCGAACTTTTGTTTCAGACAAAAATTCGGCGAAACTTCGGCGCATCTATTGTTCTAGTCCCTGCGAAATTTCTGAAGCCAGGTGATGAACCGAAACGAAAGTTCGCAGCATGAACCGAAATTTCGTTGCGAAATTTTGAGAAAGCTTCAAGAAATTTCGCGTCATTAACGAAATTTCGGTTCGTGTTAAACGATATTTCGCTTCGACGAACCGAAATTTCGTGTGAGCGGAACGAAATTTCGTTTTTGAAAAGTTTTTAACTGACCAGGGTGCGGTTGTTTACGCTTTTTGCTAGGTAACTGCAGCTACCAAGGAATGAGCAGTGGAACCTAAAAAGTCAATTTAAATCACGTAATGTTGTCAAGGAAATTTGCCTTTTTTTTTCCTGGAAACATATGCACGTATTTTGTTTTGGACATTATTAAGGCCAAGTTCACACTCTATCGGATAGCTTTTCCTGCCGCCACGAAAAACTATCCGATATAGTATGAACAGGAACGGCCTGGAACCGGCAAAAGTTGTTCACGCACATCGATCTTTGTGCCAGAGGGGTTGGCCGAGAGAGTTTGGTGTACTAAATTCCAGTCCTCACTCCTGAAAAATCTCGAATATTTACTTTCGTCTTAGTGGATTCTGGTCCTCGTTACTACTTATTCATGCACCGGCACGACCGTCCAAATAGGTGTTCACACAGTACCAAAGTATGGCACAGAACCTTTCCGATATATGTGGCGCTCCACTTTCGAGATCTGCGCTGCCCATGACTTCGCTCCGTCACAGGAATCGCACCGAAATCACCGTTCTTATCCGGCGTCCACGAAAGCTATCCTTTATAGCTAGAAATAGCCTTAATAGAAGCGTTTCCTCTAAAGGCCAATGCGAAAATACCATAATATTCTCAAATTGCAGCTGGCGTAGAGCTTAACGTTAACCTGAAGTTCCCCTATCCACAGGCGGCCCAAGCTCGGTGCATAAATTACCACGAGTTTCGATACTGTTTTGCATATTAGGCACGATTTAAATTAAGACTTTGTATGAGAAATCCAGTATAGTTGTGAAACCGTAGAAATATAAGCATAATGATAGAAATAAATTTTACTTACGTAAACTTGGATCTGTTGTTGCTTTTTCTGTGTAACCTGGACTCAATTCATGGCCATTTTAGATACGCTTATCTAATTGAATAATTCCAAACACCGCTCACGCGCAATCAGTAGACTGTCTGAGGGTAGGGAGATGCATGTTTTGTCATGCAAAGTTGATTTCCCAGCTCCCTGGGTCCATGTTCGCGTTCACCACGCAACACGTAGTCACCGAGGTTCCTGAGCGCACGTCAGATTACTCAGAACCAAAAACTGTTTACACCACCAAAAGACACATCGCAATACCCATGACGAGGGGAAGAGATAAGAAACTGATCTGGCCTTAAGGATTTAGCTCTTTCATTTTGAATCGGTGCGCGGTTCTTTGATGCGGGAGAGATTTGTGAGTCGAGACTGCCGACACGGTCATCTGCCTTACTACGCTTTATGTAGGAAAACAAACAACGAGCCAAAAAAACGTATAAAACGGCCATGAAGTGAGTCCAGGGTAAACAGAAAATGCAACAACAGGCCCAAGTTTACGTAAGTACAATTTATTTCTTCGTTTGTACCTATATTTCTACTGTTTAACAACTATACTGACCTTCTCATACAAAGGTTTTAATAGTGGGTAATATGCAAAACGGTATCGAAACTCGCGGTAACATATGTACCGAGCGTGGGCGGCATGTGTACAGGCCAGCAAGCTCTCTGGCTTGCTCGCAGGCTAGTCACAAGCTGCAAAGCTCTATTGACTTTGAGTATTAGAACAGTAAACATCTTGGTTTTTCCTCCCATTGCAGGTCTTTGAAAGATCCAAGCTGGCGGCCACATATATAATAGTAGCTTTCACAAAACACTCTATCAAAGACCAAGGGAAAATATTCGTGAATCTTCTGATTTTAACTTCAAAGCTACAAATCGTTATTGTGATTTCGAACATGGTTGGATATCAACTCTCCAGTAATGATCTAATAAGTATACCGTCCAAGTATATTTGTAAGCAGTGTGGCTTTGTACTACGCGAACCTATGCAAACGCCATGTGCTCACTTTTACTGCAGATCCTGTTTGGAAGATCATAAAAGGTAATTATTGTATATTTAAGGTATAGATAGAAGAGTGGGTAAGCGGAGAAAAATTAATAAATAAATAAGTAATGAATAAATAAATGAATAAATACGCCAATAAGTCTTTCTCTAATTTTATCCAAAAATGCTATGGAATTGAACTGACTTATTTCTATAAACAGGGCATCCAGTCAGAATGATGGGTTTAAGTTTAAGTAAAGTCATGTGCACCGGTCTTAACGCTCTTCAGGCCGCTGGATTAGAGCTGGAGACTGACCGACCTGTTCACTTGTCTGCCATTGGACAGTTCATCCGTAAATCGGATTAGACCAAAGCTATGAACTTTGAACGGTCAAAATAAGGACGCTTGAAGAATTCGAATGGTTTTATTTTTGAACCGGCACCATTTTCCTGCGAAAATCGTCGGAGCATTTCTTCAGTGCAAGAAATGTACTTTTGCATCGCCTCCTTCCTTGCCCTCCTCGTCAAATTATTTCTGCGCCATTAATTTTTGCAGCGGGGACGAGACTTATAAATGTAAAGATGACGGTGAAGAGTTTAACCTGTCTGAGGTAAGATACTGAGTTGTATGTGATCAGCATGGGAACCATCGCGTTATGCTACTATAGCCTACGAGCTGCCAAGCAAACATTTACTGCAATTGTAAAAGTATGTTTAAAAAAAAAAAAAAAAAAAAAAATTAGGAAATTTTAACCAAAAAAAAATTAAAAATAAAAAGTGGAGGGGAAAAGTTTAACCTGTCTGAGGAAAAAAACTGTGTTGTATGGTATCAGCAGGGGAACCCTCGGGTTTTTCTATTATAGCCTACAAGGGCCCAAAAAAAAATTTAATGCAATTGAAAAAATATATTTAAAAAAAAAAAAAAAAAAAAAAAATTCGGTAATTTTAGCCTATCAGGAATTCATAACTAGCTGGGCCCCCACCACGGGCTACATAATTCCATACCGTAGAGAGATGCTCAATTTTGTTTTTCTGATAGGAGCCAATAAAAATAACATTGATAATGATGATGATGACGTGGTGAAGGTGGTGGTGATGTCAATTAATGCACTAGAGGAAAAAAAAAAAATCACCTGTTGAATTAAGATACCCAACTGATTTTTTTGTAGGTATTTTATGATCGCTGGGTTAGGAACGAAATCCGGGACCTAACCGTCCACTGTCTATATAAGGACCACGGTTGTGAATGGGAAGGGAAGATAACTGCTCTGGAGGTGAGTGACGGATTAAAGTTTTTGAGATGAAAATTTACTTCTTGAAAGCCAGCTCTATGTCTTTGATACGTTCCTCCTTGGTTTTGATAAGTATATGCAGCCTACGAATTCAGCACCTCTCGTCACTCCCCGTCATAGGGGACGTTTCGTGAGAGAAACGAAAAATACTTAAATACTAAGGTTTCTGAAAATATCAAGACGTTGGCTAACTCGTTAATAACCTGTGACTCACAATAGTGGTGATTTTCATGATGACGTTATGTATTTTCAAAGAAGGAACTGGAAACACCCCCTATCTTGAATCTCCCATTTTAAATTAATCAAAAGTATTTCAATCATTACACTGAAAACCTGTATAAAAATTGCGGTAATCGTCATATAAAATTTGACTGTCTTTGAAAGGATGCTTAGGAAGCGAGCAATCTGCAAGTTGTAGAAAAGGAGAGAAATGAACAGTGCTGGAATTTGAATCAAACATCTACCATTTAATCATTTTAACATTCATTTTTTTTTTCTCGATTTAGTAACGCAGAGGCCTGAATTTCATTAACAGTTATAATACATTTCATATATATAATAATGTTTATACTTAATTAAAATAAAGTGTAATATAAGAATTCATGAGTGAAAACAAAAATAAAACCTTTTTTTTTATAAAAATGCAAATTTTCCGAAAAATATGGCTGCCAATAATCGGTTGTCATGCTATGTTGATGGACACTTCACAATGAATTAAAAATTTCGTTTCCCATTTGAATTTAAGGAAAAGTCAGCCGGCTACTTAACAATGGTTCAATGATGGTTACTTTAATTCTTACTCCATTTTTGTTTGATTAATCACTAGGAACACTCTTCCGGTTGTGATTTTGTAGAGATACCTTGTTTGTTTGAAGAGTGTCAAACAAAAGTACTGAAGTTAAGATTAGCTGAACATCTGAAAAACGAATGCAGCCAACGGAGTGTGCACTGTGAGCACTGCAAAGAGGAAATGCCTTTTGCTAAACTAGAGGTAATTTTCCCAAATTAATTAAATAGACAGGATATTACGTCGTGAGTCCTGAATGAAGTATAAAGGAATGGCATCCTACAATACAACCAGTGATCGGGAACGGAGGAATGTGATGAGCCTGGGTGTGTGGGAGGGGGGGGGGAGGGGGGTGGAGGACTCCGCCGCATATGAAAGGCGTGTGGATGCTCTTCGGAAATTTTGAGTGAAACCCCTACAGGAAACCGATCTGGGCGTGGCCCAAGCTTTTTTTGATCCCTAAAAGAGACCATGTTAAAACACAGACAAATGAGAAAACTTGGATTATATGAATGGAGTAAATAAAACAAATAAAAAATACAAATATATAAATTATATAAAAATATAAAAAAGCGCACGTTGGGATTTGCTCTGGAAGTGCCGATTTATACTACCGCAAAACGGGTCTTGTGGGATTTACTCTGGTTTTAGGCTTTAAATGTGGGGATTCGCTCTGCTGCTCGTTCCCCACTACTTTCATATGCGGAGTCTCCCCCCCTGGGTGATGAGATATTTTTGATGTATGAAATGCAAAATAAACTTTCACTGATAACTGCTATTTCAATGTGGTCTACATGCGCGCAACCCAAATGTCTAGTCGGCAACCTTTGTCAGTTTAAGCGGTGGGCCAAACGTCGACTTTTAATGAGACAAACAATCTCTAATTTGGGTCGACCTAAATTAAGTTAAGATCGTCTGTTGGGTCAGACGTCGAACTTAGGACGCGTCGAAGCAATCAACCGAATCAGACCATAAAGCAATTTTAGCTCAGTTTTTAATGAACTGTCTCCCAAACAAGGCTAAATATATATTATCACACAAATTTGTAATTTATTAGTTTAGTTCGTCGCATGTGAAAATCGACGTTTGTCCCGGAGATGATCTTCTGACGTACTGTCCGCCTGAAACAGAAGGACAGAGCGTGTTGGACGATCCAAACTCCTTCAGACGAACTTAACTGAACCAGACGTGGAACTTTTCATGAACATAATTCACTAAGGCCTACGCCAAACGTCGAACTTTTCCGGAGACCAAAGGCCAAACTCAAGCTTTATAGTGAATTAAATTCATCAAAATTTCGACGTCTGGCTCAGTTAAGTTCGTCTGAATGAGTTTGGATATCCAACACGTTCTATCCGTCTGCTTCAGACGGAAAGAACGTCTGAAGCTCGTCTCCGGGACAAACGTCGATCTACCAATAAACTAATAAATGAAAAATTTGTATGATAATGTATATTGAACCGTGTTCGGGAGAAAACTTTTTAAAATTGCTTTTTGGTCTGATTCAGTTGATGCATGTGTTCGACGCGTCCTAAGCTCGACGTATGTCCCCACAGACGATCTTAACTTAATTTGGGTCGACCCAAATTTTTACAGAGTTTGGTTCGTTTCATGAACAGTTCGACGTTTGCCTAGGCCTGTGACACTTCGTCAGTTGGTTGGGGTATTAAAGCCGTGATATCCCGCTCTGCAGATCATCACTCTGTCGAACTTGCAAAACTTTCTGTGAGTAAAAATGTCATGCTTTTTTTTTCACCTTAGTTTTTTAATTTCCCTTGCAAAAAGTCATAAGTTAATTCAACTCAATCGCAATTGATCGGAACAAGATCCGTTTTAACTTATTGTTTAGGACTTAACTGTTTGTTTGTTTGTTTGTTTTCTTACAGGATCATGTTGCCAACGATTGCCAATCATTTGCCATTGACTGCACTCTTTGCGACAAGAAAGGGATTCCTCGAGGGAAGCTAAAAGATCATCAGGATGCAGAATTTGGAGACTGTGAGGGCACCAAAGCAGCCTGCCCATTTGGATTACTTGGCTGTGAAGCAAGAGAGGTAATGTGCAAGGATCAGACTGCGTTCAGTATTTGTTTTTTTTTCTTCCAAGTTTTAGTCTTGTAAGTGATTGAATCAGTGAAGCATTAATTTTCCCAACATAACAACTATGCGATTGAGAGGACATTTTCCATGCCGTTCGAGACCTACAAAAATCAAGATTATTTATAAACAATAAGTCACTAAAAATTAAAACAAACAAACAAAAATGAAGCAACTTAATGAAAACAATAGTGGGATATTTAACCCTCTAACTTTTTTAGCGGTTAATTGTATTTGGTATTTGCTCTTTCTACCTTATTCAAACCTCTCAGCTGGTGAGCACAGATTCAAGAAAGTCACTCAGTGACGGTCTGTTTCTGCTAATCTTCTAGTTTTTGCTTTTTTAAAAAAATATAAAACTTTGCCATTTCTGTGCATTCTGGCTCTTTGCAGGAGTTAAGACGAACTGAAAGGAGACGTCACGAACAAACCTTGGTATCGTATCACCTGGCACTTCTGTTTCGATTTGTACTTACGTTAAGAGACCAAGTTGGTTGCTATGTTAATGAGATAAGTCCTTTAAGAGAAGGCGTCACAGTCGTAGATCGACTGAAATCAACAGTCGGTCAGCTTCTGTCCCAAGTTACAGCGGTGGTTCGGGAAAATGGGAATATCCAAGAGGAAGTCGATGGCTTGAGAACGCAACTGGCGCGAATGGAAGAAAACCTAGTGGAGCCAGATTCTGCTGCTATTGGACCGGGACGCTCCCTGAAAGTACAGTATCAGCAAATAACAGCAATGCTAGCTGATTTTAAGCGTCAGCTAAGCAACATGGAAGCAAAGTTTGAAAACCACGAACTGCTGCTCTCTGAAGCAAATCGCTACATTGAAGAACAAAACCAAGAGATTACTAGGCTGAAGCGACAAGCGGAAATGGACAGAGAGCAATTAAACCGGGCACAGGCCAAAGTAATATCTATGGAGGAAAGTTTGAAAAGACAAGGGAATACACCACCTGAGGCTGGTATTCAAAATTCGCGGAGAGATCAAGAACCAAATAGCTTTGATGGTACTCTTCTATGGAGGATAAATAATATTTCGGCGAAAATGTATGATTCATTTAACGAACCCGAGAAGTCCTTTTACAGTCCGCCTTTCTACACAAGTCGTCATTCAAGGGAATACACCACCTGAGGCTGGTATTCAAAATTCGCGGAGAGATCAAGAACCAAATAGCTTTGATGGTACTCTTCTATGGAGGATAAATAATATTTCGGCGAAAACGTATGATTCATTTAACGAACCCGAGAAGTCCTTTTACAGTCCGCCTTTCTACACAAGTCGTCATGGATACAAAATGTGCGCACGGATTTACTTGAATGGTGATGGAATGGGAAAGGGAACACACATTTCGCTGTTTTTCGTGCTCATGCGTGGTGAGTATGATCCGTTACTTCGCTGGCCATTCAGACAAAAGGTCACCTTCATGTTGTTGGACCAAGACAATGTGGAGCACGTAATTGATGCCTTTAGGCCGGATCCAAATAGTTCGTCCTTCCAAAGACCAAGGAGGGAGACGAACATCGCCAGTGGATGCCCCCTGTTCCTGCCGCTTGCGAACTTAAACAACCACGCTTATATCAAGGATGATGCGATGTTCATAAAGGTCATAGTTGACTGCTTTGACCTGTAAAAGTTGACCACTTATCAGCTGTTAAAATTTTGTAGTATGTTACCCGGCAGTTCGTCCCAGTGTTTGGCGGCGTATACGTAATGACTAATTAAAACTCTTTAGGCCACGTTAAGTGCATTATTAACCCTAGGTCGAGGTAAAGCATTTACACTTCGCACATTTGTCTGTAAGGTTATTTTGAGTGCAGTGTGAGCCTATCCAATTTAACAAAGTATGATAATTATATAGAATAGTTTCACTGTAAATGAATATGAAAGCGCGTTCGTTTACATTCTTTAGCTTGCTAATGTTTCTGGCTCCAAAAGGGATCCAGACTTGGCTGCATTACTTAACAACAAATATAAGGAACGGGGGCGTCAGCCTATTTTCTAGTATAATAATAGACACGAAAAAATTACTCAGTTCTGATTGGCTGAGACGGGAGCGCAGTTCTCCTGTAACACGAGTGCAAATTACAAAAGGTTTCCTATTGGCTGAAAAAAACAAAACAAAACAAAACAAAAGAAACCAACAAGAACCAATCAGAATAGAGTTGTTTTAACAACAAAATTCAGTAGGAAAAATTGCCGCCTTTTTCAGCAAACAACTATTTGATTTTGCATGCAAATTAATAGAACCTTTTTTTAAAATTTTTAAAATTCCAAAACCCGAACACAGCCAAAAGTTCGAGTTTCGGGCTAAATATATTGAAAATGTGGTGCTAAGAGAAAAATGCTGTCAACGAAATCGAGGAAAATGAGCCACGGAAACTAAACAAGCTACTTAAAACAGGTTTCGCTTAAGTCAAAAAAAAGAAAAGAAAAAGAACAACAACAACGGTGACAACCGTCCATGCAAGCCGTGACTGCTACACTTGTCAGGCTTTTAAATGAACAAAGATACAATTTTTCCATCATAACAAAAGGGATTTCAAAGCCACGTATGTTGTCCGTTGGAGGAGAAAGATGTCCGGTTGCTCTCTTTAAGTTTTTTGTCGAGCGAAGACTTCTATTATAACATGCAATGGTGTGGTTCTTCACGTTCTATCTGATCAGTATCAAACGAAACCGAAACCTTGATGACATACATCTTGTTCAAACTAAACCAAATGGCAAAAATACCATAAGTAACCGATAATGCAAAGAATCTGTAAATGATACTAGCCGTGAAGTTTAAAGTGAGAAAAACGTTGACGAATCATAGTGCAAGAAAAACAACAGACAGCAAGCATTGTACGCTTACATATCGCCAAAGTCACAGTCCACAGCAGTGATAATTTCCTCAACGACTACGATGAAACCGACGAAAAAGAGAGTCGACGACTCTCTTTCAATAAATCCAAACGAATTTATTAAAACCCCAGCGTGGAGAAAAAACAAATATTGGCAGTTTCCAACATCGCAACAACCGTGGCTCCACTTGCCCATCGATGGCAGCGTTGAGAACAAATTGCCTCCTTCATTTTCGAGTTTTAAATCTCAAAAATGTTTCCATGAATCCAGCCAATCATGGGGGTGTCAGGAACAGACAATGATGAACATTCGTTTAACAACTCAGCAAGTAATGTCTTTCATCTTTGGCAGCTCAAAGCGTTCTCCTGTTTTCAAAACAGCAGTAAATACGTCTTGCCGAGCATTCATAATGGAGGATGATTCTAAAAACATTTGCTTTTGCTGATTATTGTAAACCGAGTTATGTTTAACAGGCTGGTTTAAAATCAATACCTTGCACATTTCCAAGTTCTTAGCTGAATGATTTTGAAAACGTTGGTCTTGAAAATGCTTGAATTTGACAAAGGTTGTAATCTGTTTGAGCCAAACAGTTGAATGAATTGAACTAAAAACGCGCGCGCTGTCAAACTTTGTTGTTGTAGTTATGTTTTTCGTGTATATTATTAACAAGTAATCACATGATTTTTCTCGTGCAATTTGGAATAAATAAGCACTTGAAAATTTTTCAAAGACCAAAAAGTGCACTCGCCCTACGGGCTTGTGCACTTTTGTTGGTCTTGTTTACTCGTGTTATTTATTTCAAATTGCACTCGAAATCATGTGATTTCCTATACTAACACCTAATGATAACTTGATATCTTTTGTAATGGGAACCAGTTTATCGGCCCAACTTCACTCGCTCGAAACGCTGACATGTGATTCACAGATAGAGCAAAAGAGAGGTACAAAAGAAAATAGAAAGAGAGAAAGAAAGAAGAAAAAATGTTTTCTTATTCTTTGGGTGGTTAGACTGCGCGCAGTCCCTTTTTTTCTTCCAAGTCACTGATGAAGCACGCGTGAAGAGTCTTTGTTGACCCTAGTATGTATTCGCTCACTGTCTAAGAACTCAAAGGATCTCAGAGAAAAGTTGGACTGCAAAAACAATCTATCGGGTACTGGTCCACATGATTTTTAACCATTTTATGGCTCCGACAACATCCAACAAAGAAAAGACATAAAACTTACGCGTGGTAAATAAAGCCATTTTGTATCCATTTTTTTAAAATTTTTTACTTTATTTTTAGGTTTAAGACAATTGTTTTTCCTCCATACAAATGATCACATGTATACTTCAAAAGTTATACAACAATGCTGACGCTCATACTTCGATTCGAGCTTGGGCTTCCCGTGACGGGCTAAACATAGCTTGCGTTGCAAGCGTCGAAAGGGGTAGGGGAATGGAAGGAAGGGGAAAAGGGAGACGGATTGGGGAGAGAGGGTAAGGTACACCTACTATAGGAACCTCCATTTGTTTATTTCTGCGGACGCTGGCGTCCGCAAATTCCTGATTGGCTGAGCCGTAAAGAGCCAGAGTAACTTATTGGCGTGTATCCTGGCGTGTATCAGTAAGAGACAAATATGATGAAGGCATCGAGGAAATGTATTTTTCTGGCATGAGCTTTGGAAGATCTAGAATTACTCCAATCATGTAACACCTGAACATTAATTAATGAAGTCATAAATAAAACCAAATCAAAAGAAATTGTAGCACGTCATTTCAAACAAAATGAACAAACAGTCACAGACTTATCCACATTTGCTTGATAGCCGAAAATTTCAATGACTATTTTGTAAAAATAGGACCAAACCTGGCTAAAGAAATACCAACCCATCATATTTCCTTTACAAAGTATACATTAAGTATGAAAGAACTAATTATAGACTTTTCTCAGTTAGATTTAGAGCTGCTATGATATGGAAACTGTTTGCCAAATAGTTTGAAGGAAATTAGATCATTACAGTTTTTTTAAAGAAAACTGGAATGTTTTGTTAAATAACAATTGTTCACCGAAGTGGTGTGGCTTGTGGATTTAATAATAATAGATTAATGTCAGTTATAGATGTAATACAATAAGTACTTTATAGGTGGCAAATAAAAGATTGATTGACTAGAACTAACTGTGATAGCTTGTTTAGCAGGCAGAGATCCTCTTGAGGTTTTGTAATTGGATTTTTGCAAATACAGAGCGGCGAGCGATTGCGATTCTTTCCCACCTTTTCCGCAAAAACATATACCGTCTTGAAGAAACTTCTAAAAGGATTGTTAAGAGAGAGCTGAAGCTTTGTCCGTTGCGCTTTTTTAGAATTGTTTATAATTCTTCTTTGATTCATTATTCGCGCCACAGGCTAGAAACTGTTCTGTTTTTTTTTTTGTGACCATTGTGTTTGATGAGATAAGACCAAGGGTCTTGTGGACTCACACAAAACTGATTAGACTGCTAGCAGTAAAAACAAGAGAGACTGCTCGTAGTCTATGTTTGTCGTGTTTGCTGCGGGAGCAAGATCAGTAAAAAAAATATATCATTTCGTTCGAGCTATCCTGATTTGAAAAAAAAACGATTCGACTTGACAATTTCCGGTAAACAAAGTAATTTAAGTTCGGACCATGCTGAGACTAAAACTCACTATTTGTGATAGGGTCAGGTATTGACAATTGACGTTATCGGATTAGTAACTTAGTTAAGAAAATGGTGGCGGAACCAACTCGTATAGCAGGCGCTCCCTACCCCGCTTTTAGATCGTTCTAAGCCGACATAAACTTCAATGGTTTAAAAGCTAGAAAACGTCAAAAGTTCAAATTACTACCTAATCTTAGAAAACTGTAGCGCTTTATTTGTTTCTGTCAGATCACCAATTTAAGGTGGGTAAACACAGTTTTGGCAGTTTGAGAGTATATGTCATATGTCAAATCGTTGGAGCTCACAAGCTGAAACTTGGAAAGTGAAAAATATACCAGGTCAGTAAAAGATTTTGATTGACAGGTAAAATTTTACGGTTTCGTAGTTTCCATGGCAACATAGACCCTTCAATGCAACATTATATGTCACTTTTGCTCAGTTTGCATAAAACTAGCTCATTAGATTTTCCTATAAACTTGCACACAGCTCACTATAATTAATCATCACCATTTGAAACTTATTTGACCAAATACAGTCAACTCGAGTTGGTGTCCTCATTAGCGAGAGTCCGTAATAGTTTCTTGGCGTTTTATCGTTTCGGAGAAAATGTGAGACATCAGTTTTCTCAAATGGACAACAAAGGAGGCGGAGTTTTGTACCTGACTGTACGGAATGCTAGAATATCCACTTACTAGGGATATTTTTTACAAAAGTAGATGTTTTAAAATATATTTAAGTTAAAAGACTCTCCGATGTAAAGCAATGCAAAAGTTTTCATCTGTTCTGTTTTTGGGTTAATTGGCTGGTTTTATTTTTGGCAGTGCATGTGTAATGTGGTTCTATTTCATCCTTCGTTTCTTTCTTTCTTTCTTTTTCTTATTTTCGTTANAAGTTAAAAGACTCTTCGATGTAAAGCAATGCAAAAGTTTTCATCTGTTCTGTTTTTGGGTTAATTGGCTGGTTTTATTTTTGGCAGTGCATGTGTAATGTGGTTCTATTTCATCCTTCGTTTCTTTCTTTCTTTCTTTTTCTTATTTTCGTTTAAACTCATACGTTACCCATACGAATCAAGAAAATAGATTAAGTAAGGCTAGGATTACGTTGAATTTTAACGTGTACATGTTTATTAATG